TGTAATAGGTGAGGCTAATACCTTCCTATTATGCACATTATGAGAAATGTCAGGTTTTGATGACCTCAACTGTACAACAATACAGGCCGGGAAATGTGAGCAGCAATGGGACACGGAAAAGGTCAGAAGACTGTAAAAACACCTGAAATGTGATCCATCTGAGCATATACAGTGAGAACAACCGTACAGTGTTGAAATACTACACTGAAAGTGGAGGGAACCCTGAGGGATGTGCCACTCAACTAAAACAAAGCTATGGACTCACATAAAGGTTTTAACATGGGCGTAAAATACCAGCATTAAAGGTACATCATAACCTACTGTGTTGAAAGGTCAGGGAACACTGTAAAACAAAACCGTGGAGGACAGTCTATGCCTATCTGTAATGATAGTTTCTAATAGGTTCTGTGAGTTGGGGACAGGGTCACCTCCAACATAGTTGAAGCTCAGTAATTTTTTTCCCTTCATATAGATTTATTAAGGGGTCTAGCTGTAAGTATCCAACAGAGAATCCTTTAAGTCACCACTAAGAAAAACTGCTCCGTGGGTTAAGATAATCACAGAGCTTTACCGGGAGCAACACCACAGTTGTCAGAAATAGAAACACGGAATTGCACTGTGGTGCATCACCTCCGCCAACCTCCACATCAGCATTCACATCTCACATCCTCTCATGTGTTATTAATGGACAAGATCCTCCGATCCACTCAATGTCACCTCAGCCAAGAGCGAAGGAGAAAATAATAAAATAATAAAACACCAGAAAGCCAAAACACTCTGCCTATTAAATGATTCCATCTCTGTGAATTCCAGTGCGGTCCCAGACTGATAAACTAGCTACCCTGTTATTACTGCTGCCTGTCAGGAGGGGCTTCAGGAGGAGTGGGGAGGGGGGGGGGCTATACACTGATAAATACTGACTCTTGTGCGGTGTTAAACCAGAGACGCTGAGCATACCAGAACTGAAACTTGGCTGTGTGGTACTACTGGATTGATTTGACAGCTGTCAGCAAATCACTAATGTGGAAAGGAGGAGAATTATGCACAGTAAAGCACTGCTTACTGATAAAACTGACTTAACACATGCAAGATATGACTCAAGATAATGGGGAACACATTAGAGCTGCTGACAGAAACTTGGATTCTGACACCTGGAGTCTTGAGTGAGCAATAATGAGAGACATTTACCAGTTTAAAATCTTCACCATGGGCCCTACAGGTATTCAGATGTCTGTGTGGGCTGCAGCTGCTGATTTGTCTCACTAATTAACCAATTATCAAAAGCTTAATCTGGAGTGGAAAGAATTTCTTGGCTGGGATTTAGGCCAACGCCGCCTTCCCAGAGACGTCTGCGCATTTACAGACGTGAGTCCACGCACATACTCCCACATGTAGCACGCAGTGGATCATAATAAACTAAGTTAACAGTAGCATAAAGTTAAAAAAAAAAAGCTTTACATTTCTGATTCCCTAATGTAGAAACAGATGATACAGGGGCACTCACTTGGCCTCCAGAGCCAGAGCGATGATCCCAGCAGCGAGCGGTGCCGACGCGGACGTCCCCGTGTGAGAGTCTGTGCATTTTTGCCTCAGGTCAGTGGTCACCTTAGAGGCAAGTGGATAGAGAGAAGGTGTAAATAAGTACAGGAGGACAGACATAGTTGATTTGACACATTGAGTTGCCCACTTCAACATGAGTGAAGCTCACAGGCAGAGAAACTAAGAGCTAGACAGATGAGGGCCGCAGACAATAGGAACTCTCCCCACAGCTATGTGCGATGGAAAAGAGGAGAAGGTGAGAATTAGTAGGTGGTTCAGTCTCAGGTCTGTGGATCCCTGCCAAGGGGTCACGCCTGGGGTAATGAAGGTCAGCCAAATCAGCCCAGCCAGGTCAAGCTGTGGTGAGACAGAGTATGTTAGCACTCCACGTACATCTCTCCTCTTGGTCTCTGCAAGTGCCAGAAAGCTAATGAGGGCTGTCTGGGTCACGATGAGGACATGTCAGAAATGACAAAGAAGCCAAAGGCAAGGTGGTCTATGAAGGTTAGAGACAGATTCTTGGTTTGCAACTTCTGGCCTGACAGATTGTGGCGTTAATGACCATTATCTGTGGAAAGATGTGTCAGAGGGGTAAACAAAGGGAGGGCAAGTGTCTGCACAGGCCAGCTGTTATAGGACCTGGACAGAACAACACTGAAACAATAATATTTAACAGATTAAATGCTGGAAGTTAACTGATTCAATTTTTTTTTTAAAAATATTGAGTGAAATCTTTTGTAAATAACAGCTCAGACTATCTGCAGCTTCTTTTTAGGCATTTTTTTGGTTTTATGACTCTGAAAACTCGACATTTTTAGATTTTTTTTTTTACTAACTAGACAAATTAAGTTTTTCATATAGCAGGTTAGAAGTAGAAAAGGGTCCCAGATCAGATTCAGTGATATTTATCTATCGAGACTATTCTGGTGTGAGTTGCTCAGTTTTAGAGATAACATCTATAGGGATGTCTGCCATCTCTTGAATATAATAGAACTAAATGGCAATCGGCTTATGGCCAAAAATACACCTGAAAAACTCAGCCTCCCTCACGAAATATGATCCTGTTACAAAAGAAAAACCCAACCACCTTGTTGTGAGGTGATTCATTTAAGAGAAAACTGTGTCTGTGACAAGTGGCTCAGGCTCATGACAGGATGCAAACGCTAATGTTGCTGGCACTCTGTACACAGCTGTAATGCCAAC